CTCCTGAGTCACGAGGAGACACAGCTGCAATGAGTACCGTTTACTGCAGACCTTTTTCTGTTCATATTTGATTAACGTTTGTCAGTGTGCATGCTAAAGGGGGGGTCAGTGGGACCCCTCTGTGCGCGTATGTATCGTGCACTAACCATAGGCGACCCCCTTTTCTCTAGCCCCCACCCCATACCCTTACCAAACTGCAGTGGTCATTGTCCAGCATGCGGTTACATAACGTCCCCGGTTCTCAGATTGGAGGGCAGAAGAAGGCTGTGAACACCCTGGAGCTGGAGTTACAGGCAGTTGAGGGCCACCCGTTGTAGGTGCTGGGAACCAAATCCAGGTCTTCCACAAATAGCAGCAAGTGCAGCAAGCCCCACCAACCCTGGGGCTTGAACGCAGGGCCTAACACGCGTCAAGGAAGCATTCTGCCAGTTAAATCTCTGTCCCAGTCACCGCACTTTTAGTTTCTTCCTGAGTTAGTGTTTGAATTCAGGGTTTTTTGTTTTTGTTTTTGTTTTTAAGATTTATTTATTACATATACACTGTTCTACCTACATACCAGCAGAGGGCACCAGATCTCATTATAGATGGTTGTGAGCCACCATGTGATTGCTGGGAATTGAACTCAGGACCTCTGGAAGAGCAGCCAATGCTCTTAACCTCTGAGCCATCTCTCCAGCCCCAAATTCAGGGTTCTTAGTAGTCAAAGTGGCAGGCGGGGACTCTGCTCTCCTGCAGCAAGGAGGGGCCCAGGCAACTCTGATGCAGATTCTTGAGCCGACCTGAAGTCCGGGGAGAGCCGCCTGACCTCCAACCATGACAAGGATGCAGCATGAAGCACCGGTGTTGCTGTAAGGCAGAGTCCCCCAGACTCTAACCCCAGTCTTCCATTTCCTTTCCAAGCACAGAAACGAAGGTAACAACCGCCAAATCTCGCCTCATCCCCTGCAACACAACATCGCCACCTGCTGGCCAAAGTGCCACAGTGGCCTTAGGCGCACCGAAAGTTTAGCTGGGAATGGCAACCAGCCATGGGTCTTTAAACACGCTTTACAGCAAGTTGTGTTCCAGTCACGATGGGCTTCCACATTTCTGGACTTCGTGTAGACGCGTGCTTTAAAACCAGAAATTAATACGGTCACTCTACGTTTTCATTGCACCCTTTCCTCAATCTGGTGTATACTGTAAGTTCCCAGGCCTGATCTTTCTGATATGTGTTATATTTTAAAAAGTGGCACAAGAGAAAGAGACCATCCAACAGAACTTGGGTGGAGGTTTTTAAATTGGGGGGGCATTGAATGGGAAAAGGGGGAGGGGGAAAGGGGAGACCAGTCTCTGGGGACAGGAGAGAGAGAGACAGACAGACAGGCAGAGAAGCAGCGAGAGGATGGGAGGTGGGCGGGGCCCTTTTCAAAGGAACACAGTGAATGCGCACAGATGATGCTTTTAGTGGCTGCAGCTGAGGGCGTATGCTGTAAGACTTCCCAAGGACAGGCCAGTACAGATGCCTGGATACTAACATTATGATTTTAATGTACTCATGTTCTCCTACAGTCTCGTGTCACCCTGAGGAGTCGGTAGAGTGGCATTCTTTCTACTCCAGGAATAAGTCATTTCTGTGCCATGTGACAGACAATGCCACTCACCAAGGTACAATCATCTTCCATCCTTAAAATATAGGGGGAAAGCTGCTTGCAATGAAGGAGGAAAGGAGGGAGGAAAAGGAAACAGAAAAGGAAAAGGAAAAAATGGGAACAGGTAAGGCTAGAGCGATGGCACAGTGGTTAAGAGCATTGCCTTAGAACCCAGCTGGGGTGGAACATTTGTTACACGTGTTCTCTGCACTGGGTACCATAGAGTAGAAGCCCCTAAGGTCTGAGGAACCCACGCTCCAGGTTAATTAACCTCAGCTGTTCAGAGATTATTCTCAGTTTTTTTTTCCATTACAGTAACCTTGTGAGGGGGTGGGGGGGCAGAAGAGGGTGTTAGATGTGTTAAATTGTGTGAATGTGTGCAGGTATTCATCCACGTGTGTGTAAAAGAGACAAAGAAAAGAGGCACACAGATCCAGAGGGGCACAGAGATTTATTTCTAAGGATGAGGCTGCAGAATAAAAATGCCAGTCCCCTCTCAAGCTTCTCAAGCAGAAATCAAGCATTTGGTAAATTGATTAAGTGCTTGGAATAACCCTTCTGACAGCTGGGTCCCCTGTCGTTCTGGATCTGGGAAGTTGGTCAAAGACCACACGCCAGTCTTGGTGCGATCACCTCATTCAGGCCCCAAAGCAACAGATGTTGAAAGACGGAGCAGCATCCCCCACTGGCCTCATGATTGCTAGAGTTACTTGAAGATTCTCAAGGCTGATTTCCCTGGCTCGGACCCCAAGAAACCTCTCCACTCTGATCTTTCCTAGAACAGGCTTTGGTTTTACGTCTGGGAATCGGGTGAAATCTTAACCCATTGTGTTTTGCGTCATCCTGAAGATGTCCACACAGACCCGCATCTGCACGTCCCCGATGTTACCCTCCAGCAGCCTGCATGCCTCTGGCCAGCCTGTCTTTCCAGTCAATCCCTGCACTCAGTCCTAGAGGGAATTTTAGAATAAACCTAGCGTATCTTTGTCCAGCAGGTGGCGCTGTGGACCGCGCTCTGCAAGACCATCTGAAGGTAATTTTAGGGACTCTCCAGAGCCCTTACAGCTTTTCTCCCGAAGCCTGG